GAGAGCTGCACCATTCCTTTGCATGCATTCTGGCTGGATGTTCCTTAATTGATTTAACCTTATTGATGGAAATTTGGTTCGTCTCCAAGCCTTTTGCTAATACAAACAGGGCTGCAGCATTTAACCTCATCCATGTATCATTTTGCACATGGGTAAACATCTCTGTAACATAGATTTCAGTCCTTTGTCCCAGAAACTCTTCTCAAAGTCCAAATGGATCAGCACCATAATCTAAGGGTTCTTATTCTCTCAGGGCGGAGTGAGCCAGGCAAGCCAGGCTCTCTTGGGCTTAAAGCAGTGGGTTGTGTTCAGTCACTCACTACTGAAAGCAGACTTCTGGACGCCAGCACTGTTACCTGGCCCAGTGGCTGACACATGGAAGGTGATCACTGAATGAATGAATTAATGAATGAATGATAAAGGAAGAAAGCAATGATCAAATGTGAGTGGGAGAAGGAAACTCAGTTCTCAATCAATCCAGCTTTCTTAGCCATAAAATGGGGATTATGCAAAAATCTTCAACCCAAATATTCACTGATATTAACAAAACAAAGCAGATGAGCTCCAGAAGGGAGAAAGAAGGTCTACTCAGTTCTGCAGGCAGTGACACTTCACCTGTCTTGTCCACTGTAGTTGACAACGTGGCTGTCCACCAGAGGTGATTTTGCCCCTACTCCAGGGGATCTTTGGCGATGTCTAGGGTCATTTTTGTTTTTTTTTTATCATGTTTTTGTTTGTTTGTTTGTTCGTTCGTTTTTGTTTATACATGCACTGGGTACAGTCAGAAGCGCGGGAGGGTGAGAGAATTCACCAGAGCCAGAGCAGGGAGCAGAGCAGGCAGAAGGACTGAAGTACACTGCTGAGGGGAGCAGCGGGCGGCAGGAGAGGTCTGCGCGCCATGTGGGACCCTCCTCCGGTGGCCGGGGAGCAGCCGGGGATCGAACCGGCGCCGCAGAGGTCGCCGGCAGCTTTGCAACCCAGCGCTCAACCGCTGCGCCACCGGGGAGGTCTAGGGTCATTTTTGATGGACACAACTAAGGGAGGAGGAGGTGGCCTCTGGTATCAAGTGGGTGGAGGCCAGGGATATGGTCCAACACCCTGTCCTGCTCAAGCAAGTCCGTTGTCCCCAGCAGAGAACTATCCAGCCCAGATATTGAAGCATAGAATTAGCCGGCATTCTTGTGGCAGTCCAGATGTTGTCATTTTTGGTTTTGTTTGCAGTGGTCTCGGTGTGGCTTTTCAAGCTTCCAGTGCCTTGTTATGTTACTGTTACTAACATGCCATGTGACCATAGGCAGCTCTGGCCCTCTCTGGTCTTTAAGTCTCTGGAAGTTTGTAACCACAAACTCTAAGAGCCTTTTACTCTGTCAGATGTGCTAGTTTGCTTTTGGTTTTGTCCCTGTGGGGGCCAAGTAAACCAAGCAGGGAAGCTGGGCACAATCGTTACTGTTCAGTGTGAAAGTTAAGGAAACCACTGCTGACTTGGGTATTAACACTGATGACTACAACAGTGACTTTTTCACGCAGCCATTGATGGAAATACACCCAGCACAGCTCCTCCCAGTCCTGTCTCCTAAAGGTACTCAGGGTGAATGCTCAGCCGAGGAAAGAATTTTCCCTCTCCCAGCCAGAAGCTACATTCCTAAGGGTTCTAATGACATGCAACGGGGTTCAAAGACTCAGTGAGCCATGAAGCCCTTCTCTGATTACAGATGTGTCTGCCTCCCCTGGGCCTCTCCATCACTAGGGGTTAAAGGCAGCCTTGAAACTCAGCTCTTCTTGTAATTTTTTTTTTTTTGTTTAAGAAACTTTTAAGTACTTATTATCACACTTTGGAAAATACCCACATCACCGAGAGGCCAATGCCCAGAGGCAGCCAGGACCATTTTGCTGCCATTCCTGAGTCCTGCCATTCCTGGGGTCATTACCCCAATGCAGTTGGTTTCAGCTGGGTGTTCTAGCTGTTTTCATAACATCGTAGAATCTTCTTGTTCTTTTCACTGAACACGATGGCAGGATTCTCAAGTTTTTGTTCCCTCCACTTCTCGTTCCATCCATGTGTGCCTGCCTGATGAGACGCTGTGCATAGAATCCAGGCCATTCCCAGCCACTCTGCTGCTGCCGGGCACAGACCTTCTGCTTCAGCGCTTCAGAGCTCGTTATGCTTTTTCGATGTTAATAGGACGCTTCCCAGTCTAATCTTCCATCTCCCCATCAAAGCTAGAAAAAGGAGAGAGAGATGTGCTCCCTCCCCAACTTGGATGGCTGAGCAGATGCTCCAGCGCCTTCCCTGCTCCAGCCAGCCCGGAGAGGAGCGGCTGCAGTGTGCATTTAATTACAGCGCTGCCTCTCCTGTTTGATATCCGTATTTGGTTATCAGTGTGTGGCTGTCTTCCTAAACCTGCAGGAATCACATCCTAGAGTGTTGACTCTCTCATGCCCAGCATCAACCAGCAGACAGAGTCAGCATCCAAGGCTTTCACTCATTAATTGATTGACAGCATTCGAATGGGTCACTGAAGGCACACGATAACGGAGGAACCAGTCAAACATGACTCCAGTGATTGCAAAATTTAAGTGCCTGGAGGAAGAGTCCATTTAACCCAGCGGTTGCTAGGGCCCTAGGAAAGGCCAGACTATTCCTGCAAGTTATTAAGTACCTGGATCTCGGAAATTCTGGAATCCAATTTTCACTCATTCCCAGTGGGACTTGGTTTGGCTTGGCCTCATCTAGCCAGCGTGGCTGCAAAGAACAAGGCCCCAGGTCTTGCAGGCTGCATGCACTGCAGATCCCAGACACATGCTCATCTGTCCTGGGCGTGACCTTAAGTTTGGAGTCAGTCAGCAAGATCCCAGCAAGTGTGAGCTCTGAGGATGGGGATATTAAGGGCAGGGAGGTGGATTTACCTGGTGGATCAGCAACTCATCTCAGGAATAAGGCTTTCAGTAGACGAGCACTGACTCTGTGCAGTGGATTTACTTCCTCGTGTCTGGGAGCTATTAGGGCCCCCAGGGCAAAAACCAGGACCAACAGAGAGGAGAGGCTTTTTTGCCCTGGGGGCCCCAGAGGAGGGAGTAATATATGGGGAGGAGCAGATCTTGAGGTCCCTTTTGTTGCTCTTACGCCCTTGCTGGCTGTGTTGGAACTCCTGGACCGGGGTGGCAAGGGTTGGTCACAGGCCTTGGGAAGAGTCACCACCTCAGTACACACCCATACCTGCAAGGCCAGGCCCCAGGGAGGCCAAACTAATAAGGCAAGACCCCGGTTTCCGGCATGTACTTTCCTGATAACCCTAATAATAAGAATCACCAGAGGGGATTTTCAATCCTCAGTTTTCCAGACCCCACCCCTGGAGACTCTGATGTGATGGATCTGGTTGGGAAGACCAATAATTTGTATTTTAACAAGGTACATGGTAGGGTGGGGAGTGTCAGCCAGGGGGGTATAAAATCTTTAGCCCACCCAGCAGAAATACAGAGGAGAGGACTTCAGGGGAACAGTCCTCTTCAAACTGAGGAGCAGGAAGACGCCAACAGTAACAGTAGCCCATATTTCTTAAAAGCAGCTAGTATGGTCTTTGGCATCAGGAAAACTAAGATTTGGAACCCAGCTTTTCTGTGTGATCTTGGAAAGTCACTTGATATCTCAAAGCCTCAATTGGCTCATCCATAAAATAGAATAGTAACTTCTTTTTTTTTTAAATATTTATTTATTTATTTATTTATTTATTTATTTATTTATTTATTTATTTATTTATTTATTTATTTATACAAGCACTGGGTACAGTCAGAAGCGCGGGAGGGTGAGAGAATTCACCAGAGCCAGAGCGGGGAGCAGAGCAGGCAGAAGGACCGAAGTACACTGCTGAGGGGAGCAGCGGGCGGCAGGAGAGGTCTGCGCGCCATGTGGGACCCTTGCCCATCTGCCGGGGATCAAACCGGCGCTGCAGAGGCTGCGGGCAGCTTGCAGCCCAGCACTCAACCGCTGCGCCACCTTATTCAACTTCTATTGAATAAGGTTGAGAAAGAAAGAAATAACAAGTACAGAGCCTTCAGCACATTCCTGGCACATGTTCAGCCAGCAGTAAAGTAATCAAAAATAAAGTTTGAGGTCACTATTACTATGGCCAAGGCATGCCAGCCAGCTTCACGGGGCCTTCTGTCATCTTTTATCACCTTCCCTCACTTTCTCTCTCGCTCTTTCTCTCTCTCACCACCTCCCATCCCTCGCGTGATCAAGGGGACATTTCTGTAACGAGATTGCTCAAAACTAGTGTAGCCACAAAGGACTATGGGTGCTTTGGTGGTGGGAGAGCTACAGTGACCACACCCGAGGGGAGAGATTCTGTATAGTCAAAATATTAACAAGGATAATACAACATATAGTAATCATAATGAAACTCTACGACCCCCCCACCAAGACATCAAAAATCAAGACGGGGTTGGAGCCTGTCACTTTGTCTTTTTTAGCAAGATTAACCAAAGTTTCCAAGAATCATTGCTGATTACTGGATTGTTTCAAAAACTGACAGTTTCAGGGCTGGAAGGGCCCTCTCCTTACCTGCTCTGGTCTGGTGCCTATTTGACTCACAGAGATTGGAGAGATGAGGAAGCCCACCAACGGCATGTGAGGGCACTATGTCCAAAGTAGGACCCTCCCCGGGCCCCCGCCCCTGGTTGCAGCCAAATGCTTTGCACTGAGTGGCAGCTGGGTCTTGCGAGCCAGGAGTCCTGCCCCTCTCCCATTGCCTTCTTGCACTACCATCTACAAAGATGACCAACATCAATCATTCAATAAAAGCACCAAGAATATAAAAGCTGCACTTCTGAGCAGACCCACATCTGATCTCCGCGGAGGCGGTGGCGTAGCTGTTACATAACCTTAATGACTTGCCCAGGCTGGCAAGGCCAGGAACTGTTGGGGCAGGATTTGGACCCAGGCCTAACTCCAAAACCTCCACGCTCCCCCTTGGGACCCGGATACCTGCTTCAACCCCTGGATGACCTTGATCTTCCTGCTGGTCATCCACACACCCTCCCTCCCCCGTGCCTGCCCCAGCCCCTGTGCTGCCATTGACCGGGAGTGCGCATTGGCTGGTAATCAATGTTACACAACAGGAACATTTGTCGATGCCAGTTGCAAACTGTTGCCGTCTATATAGATTAAGCCACTGCCGCTGACTCCATGAAAGTAAATGAGCCTTTCCAATGGCTGTGGAAATAAATTTAAATGACAGTGCTGAAGGGCCCAGAGACCGTGGCTGACTGAGTGTCTCTCTGCAGAAAATCTACAAGGACAGCTATCGGTCTGAGCACCATTGTCTCCAGGACATAATCCCGCTCTATCTCAAGGCAGTGCTGGGTTGTTCTGATCGCTCGGCTTCCTGCTGAGGGGTGGATACAGTGATGACAGTTAAACAGTGACAGCAGCTGGCACATTCTAATCACTCACTGTGAGGCACCCAAATGTGTGTGGGTGTATGTCTGCTTCACAGGCATCATCCTAGGAAACAGGAAATAAAAGGTCCATTTTGCAGCTGAGGAAACTGAGGCTCAGAAAGGTAAAGCCATTTCCCAGCTTGCAATTGGCAGAACAGGGTCGCAAATAAGTAAATGAAGCTGAATTCAGGCATGATTTTGCCTGGACCAGCCCTTATTTAAAATTACTATGTGGTTTTCCTTTCATGACAAAAGTAAATCACACAGAGTTAGCAGGCTACACAGGCCCACGAGGGCCTGGCCCTGACCGCTCTACCTCACCAACTTTTTCTCTAGTCACCTTCCTCTTGTGTCCTCTGCCCTCTTGCATTCCTCAGCCAGACTTCCACGGTCTTCCCACACCCTCTGTCCTAAACCTGCTTCGCGATTCTGAATCCTCGTATCAGTCTGTGCATCCTACAAGGTCACTTTTCTATTAGTTTAAAATTTTGCTCCTCCAAGCTGGAAGGGATCATGCTCAGCAAAATAAGCCAGAAAGAAAAAGAAAAATGCCGGATGGCCTCACTCATAGCAAGAATTTAGAAAACCTCAATAAGAGACCAGGAAAAAGACTAATTATAATAAAGTAAAAATCAAAATCAACAAGTAACTAGAAACTAGAAACACACCACAAAGAGGGGGAGGGGAGGAGGGATTAGGGTCAAAATATGGGGTGGTGGGAATTGTATGGGGAATATAACCAAGATGAAAATGCATACACTGTGCAAAAATGAAAAAGATGTAAAATATATATAAAATAAAAAAATAAATAAAATAAAATAAAATAATTTGCTCCTCCAATGCCAGACAATACAGCCCTGAGCCAGGGCACATGGCTCAGAGAGGAGAGTATATGGGCTGGTTTACAGCCCCACCCAAGTCCTTGTGCAGTGAACAACCTGCCCAACTGTGCATGGCAGTCCTGCAGGGTACATTGGGTTAGGGCCTGTCCTCTCTGTCCTTTAGCAGGAAATTTTGTCTTTTCAGGCATTTTCACTTTGACTATGACTAGTCCTCTTTTTCTATTCACTTTGTCTCCCAATACATATGCAACTAGATGTTAAGACTCTTCTGCCTTGGTTTCTGTAGCCCTAATGCTTAACTCAGGCTTGGCATGATCAGCTCTGAGTCTCCAAGGGAAAGAAGAGAAAAGCAGGAAAGGAGGCAAGGAGGGAGGGAGGACAGAAGGAAGTAAGGGGAGAAGGGAGAGAGGAGACAGCCCTTTATTTGTTGACAGAACACTGCCAGCGCCCAGGGAGGCCTTGGTTGCCCCCTTGGGAAAAACCACCCTCAGAATCTGACAGAAGGTAGAGGATCTAAACCTCTTTCTTGAGCCTGTTAACCGCTGTCTTTTCTCCTCTTCCCAAGATGCACCACCAGAGGGAGACACTGGCCTCTCAGACACTTACCTTCTGCCTTCAGAAGCACAGGGGAGCAGCAGTCTGAGCAAAGAGCACCCCCAAGAGAGGGTAACAGTGACACCTCTGAATCCAGCAAATCCTGCACAGTCAGGGGAAGAGCTTCTGGAGCCTGAATTGGAAGGGGCAGCCCCCTCATCCCCCTCAGTGGGTCAAGACCCTAAGGCCCTGTCAGCCCTGTCAACGCAGACTCCAGAAGAGGCGGGCAGCAAGCACACCACCGCCCCCAGGAAGAGGCTGCCCTCGCTCAAGCAGGTGAACTTGGCCAGGAAACAGCTGAGGCCCAAGACCACCTCCACAGCTGCCCTCCTGAGGACCGGGTCCCAGCAAGCATCCTCAGACCCGGGCCTCCTCGCTGCCATCACCGAGAAGCCCCATCCACCAGCCGACCTGGACCCAATGGCCTTGGCAGGAGAGGGGACCCGCCAGCTGTCCTCAGAGGAGCCCATCTGGCTGGACAGGAAGGACAGTGCGGTCCCTACCACACCTGCTCCCCTGCAGATCTCCCCCTTCACCTCACAGCCCTTCATGGCTCACACCCTGCCCCAGAGGCCAGACCCTGGGGAGCTGGTGATACCTGAGGAGGCCCAAGAAGCTCCTCCAGAGGATGCCAGTCCCATGACCCTGATGGACAAAGGTGAGAATGAGCTGACCGGGTCAGCTTCGGAGGAGAGTCAGGAGACCACCACATCCACCATCATCACCACCACAGTCATCACCACTGAGCAGGCCCCAGGTAAGCGCCCAACTCCTCCAGCCTCCTGAACCAGGGGAGGGGGGAGGGAGCCAGGGGGCGGGGCGGCCCATCTCCATCATAAGTGCCTGTCCATGTGTGCTATCTAGGAGCTTCGCCCATGGCTTAGAATTAATATCCCCACCTTAAAGATAAGACAGCTTATCTGTCAGGCCCCAAGACATCAAGCGACCCGCCCAAGGCCACACAGCTAAAAAGTGGGATTCAAAACCTTTTCATCTTGGAGCCAAATTCCTAAGTCTGCCTAGAAGGCCCCAACCTTCTCAAAGTGCTTTGCCTTTTATCATTACATGCACTCTGCTAGACTTGGTGAAATGCACTCTCTTTCTCCAGTTTTTAAAATTCTTCTATTTTCTTTTCCGCCTTCAAATAGAGACAAGTGTCAATCATACACTGATTTCGGACATAGACCATGTGACCCTGATTAAAGCATGTGAGCTTTAGGTTTGAATCCTGCTTGCTGTGTGAGCCTGGCTCAGAGATGCCCCCTCTGAGCTTTGGCTTACTTAGCTCTCAGATCTGTCCTTAGTAGGCTGAATAGGGTCACCGCTACTCGGGATGGTGCCCAGCAATATGTTGCTGTTACAACATGTTACAACTACATCTTGTTAGTGGTCATTTGTGTCAACTGCACTGTGTAGATCAACTGTACTGTTGATTCTGGAGCTGAAGGAGAATTAACAGTAAGAGGAGTGGGGGCTAGAGAATGCAAGTGTCCCCAGAGCTCTGTCTTACCCTACAGCCCATCTGAGAGATTCATCTGATCTTCCTCAGTGGCCTAACTAAAGTGCTCTCCTCCAGCCCTCTGCAGCGTGAGCTTCTCCGATCCCGAAGGGTACATTGACTCCATTGACTACCCACCGCTGCCCCTCAACAGCTTCCTGGAGTGCACGTACAACGTGACTGTCTACACTGGCTATGGGGTAGAGCTGCAGGTAACCCCCGAGTCAGGCTTACCCTCAATCATCTGGTTCTTTTCTCCCTAATGAGGATAATTTGAGCTGGGCTATGGTGAATGAATAGGAGTTCCCAACTCAGTTCACAGCTGAGATAGCTCGGCACATGTGGAGGGGCAGGGACCTGTTGATAAATTAGGAAGTATTGTGCCTGGAAGGAACTTTTTTCTAGTACCCGCTTATCACACACACACACACACACACACACACACACACACACACGTCCCAGCCAGTTCACTTGATCTATAAAATAAGAATGGAAAACCAGGTTGGTGTAGTGCTCAAGCATCTGGGTTTTAAGTCCCTGTTCTACAGTTAAAACAGTTTCTTTAGGCAAGGGGTTTCCCCACTCTTGGCCTCAGTTTCCCCATCAGTAAAACAGACAATCATGTCATGACTTTACAGGGCTTGAGAGGAGAGATAAATATTACAACACAGAAAGAGCATTTAGCGAGAACCTAAAAAAGTAGAGAAAGTTCAGTGGCTATTACCAATCGTCTTCACCCTGGTCCCAGATCTTCTCCAACTGACCAATTCCTCGTTAGAAGTCCTTTTTAAAATGGACTGAGGGGGCCTCCCCGGTGGCACAGTGGTTGAGCGCTGGGTTGCGAAGCTGCCCGCAGCCTCTGCAGTGCCGGTTCGATCCCTGGCTGCTCCACGGCCACCGGAGGAGGGTCCCACATGACGCGCAGACCTCTCCTGCCGCCCGCTGCTCCCCTCAGCAGTGTACTTCGGTCCTTCTGCCTGCTCTGCTCCCCGCTCTGGCTTTAGTGAATTCTCTCACCCTCCCGCGCTTCTGACTGTACCCAGTGCTTGCATAAATAAATAAATAAATCTTTGAAAAAAAATTAAAATAAAATAAAATGGACTGAGGAAAGGAAATGTCCCACATATGGAAGGAGGTGGTGGCAGACTCTTCGAGCCCATGGTCAGAGGTCTGGATGTGGACTTTCTCTAATAGACAACAAAGAGCCATCAAACGTTTTTGAGTTGGGTTGGTCATATGACCTGACCAGAACTTTCCTTTAAGAAGGTTCTTCTGACTCATACAGGAAAGATAACAGAGCTAACCCTTTCGGCAGAACTTGGCATCTTTGCACAGAGCTTAGCATAGTATGTAGCACATAGTAGGTAATTAATATTATTTGTGTCATTAAAATAAACTGGAGAAAAATTACAGCACATCTGATGCTGGCACTTAATGCACCCTTTCCACTGTGCCTACTGCTCTATGGTTTTTTTTATTTTTATCAGGCACAGTAGAATCCATTCATTGATCACCTACTATGTATCAGTCACAGCTGTTGATACTAGGGGATATGGTGATGTGCAAAAATGATGCAGTGCCTGCCATAAAGGAGGCTTTTATGACTCACACACACAGAGAGAAGACGTGAGGATGCCATTTGGAAAGGTGTCTAGTAGATGTCTATAGATGTTTATAGGGGATGTGGTAGACTCACAATGGAGGCATAGGCAAGCTCCTTGAAAGTAAGAGATGGCTGCACAGAGGAGGGCAATTTTCATGGGGCTTTGGCAAATAAGTAGGAGTTCATCAAAGAGGAAATAAAGAGCAAAATGTATGGCCTGAAAGAGAGGGGCTCAGAGGTGAGCCCTGACCTGATGAAATGAGGGTCAGTCAGGCTAGGGTCCAGGGCAAGGAAAGACATAGATATTCAAATTGGGCATTGGAAACTGGCCAAAGTCCCCACCCCACCCCTACCCCATTGTTCAATGTCTTTGTGTATGATTGCAGTATTTCCCTTCCTTTTCCTCCAAGACTAGAAAAGGGATCTTGGCAAAGCAAGTATCATTCTTTGAGGAAGCTCTGGAGTTGGAGCCATCATTTATTTGGGAAGATAAGAAAATGGACCTGAGAATGCCCTAGAGTCTCCTCCCCCAACTCCCTCACTGAGTACCTGCAGAAGAGGGAGGATGTATCCCATCATTCTGTAAATTCTTAATGAGTACTCTCTGTGCGCCAGGCACTCTTCTAAGCACTGGGGAGACGAAGAAACATGGAAAAATCCGTAGCTCCTTGGAACGTACATTCTAGTGGAGTGCCTCTTCTGTCTCCCTGGAGATTGGACTTCAGGCACAAGCTGAACAATCCCTGCCCTCCCCCTCCTGCTCCAAGGGAATTTACCCCAGCTGCCAGCATCCACAAGGGCCCAACTGTGGGAGCCCACACTTCCTTGCAGCACCTCTACCCTCATCTTGGTTCTACTCTATTCCCTCAAACTTTGGGGAGATGAAAAGGGTCTAGATATTCATAGATGTTTCAGGGCTGGGGCTTGGGGTCTGTCCCATTGACTAGAGGTCTGTTGAGGGGTGCAGCAATGGTATTGCCTAGAACCACTTGGGGATGCTGTATTTCAATGTCTGGGGTCATTCGGGGTGCTGCATGTATCTGGAGTTTTTTTGGGGAGTGCTGCATTGCAGTGCCTGGAGCTGACTGGAGGCATTGTGTTGGCAACACTGTGGCCTGGGGTGGCGCTGTCTCAAACAAGGCTCAGGTCTCCTCTGTCTACTCCTGCCCATCCCCAGGTGAAGAATGTGAACCTGTCTGAGGGGGAGCTCCTCTCCATCCGTGGAGTGGACGGCCCCACCCTGACAGTCCTGGCAAACCAGACGCTCCTGGTAGAGGGGCAGGTCATCAGAAGCCCCACCAACACCATCTCTGTTTACTTCCGGACCTTCCAGGATGACGGCCTTGGAACCTTCCAGTTGCACTACCAGGGTAGGATGGGGCTGATGCTAATGAGACATAGCTGCTTGCCTCAGTTTCCCTCTGGAACCTCTGAAACAAAACTCTTTGTTCCTGGGTGCCTCTGGCACTTTGGTATATCCCATGGACCCTCTTCTCGGGAAAATGCCTTCAAAAGCATAGATAAAAAATATAGACTTTAAGGAGAAGCCAGTCATACTGAGTTACAGTTGTCAAAATATTGTTTTAATCTAGAATGATCTATGTGCTTCTTTATTAATACACTAAATAATAACATCTCCTGGTGGTTCTGATAATTACTATAATTTCAAAGTGCTGAGGAGCATAAGAAATATGTCAAGATATCCATTATAATATGAAAATATCTGTGATTCCTCCAGGTGACTAAGTCACAGTTTCCATTAATATGTTGCAGTTTGTTGCCCACAGTCATGATTGCGGGAAATACGCAAGTTTCATTAAAGGTTAATGAAAATAAGAAAGGCGCTTTTTCTCGTTCAAGTTCAGGGTACTGCCATCGATACACGAATCCCCTGAGAGTCCATGGCCTCAACCGCCATGGTCCCTCCATGGTCTTTTCATTTTTGTTTGGGCTTTATCCCACTTCGTCCTTGCGTCCCCTGCGCAGGAGGGACATTGCCAACTCCAGGGAAAAGGAAAGGAGAGTGGAGTGCAGGGCAGTCATTTCTTTAGTTTCTAAGCCATGGAGTAAGACCATAGACTCACACTGGTTCTCTCCAAAACCCAAGCCTTTACCTCCCAGGGCAGCTGTTTTCAAATTTTCATTGCCACAGACATTTCCTGAAGAGCTGGCTGTTCTACTTCTGATCCGAGAGTCTGTTTTGTTTTGTTTTTTTAGCAAACACCTAAGTCGTTTGTGCAGGTGGAACTAACTACCTGAGCAACCCATCTCTTCCAGGGGAGAAGGCCATTCGTGCCCACGTGGAGAGGCTTAAATGAGATATGGGAACTCACTTCCCCCCAAACCTGTTGTCTCTGGTTAGGCAGAGTGGAGCCCAGAAAAAGCGCTAGGCTGGCAGTCTCAGCACTGCGTGATCCACGAGAGGCACAAAAATACCCTCCTCCAGGGCTCTGGAGTCCCCCGGGGCCTCGTCCTTGCTCCTCAGCACAAACTGGCTCCCAGGATGTGGGTCACATTCCCCACCGCCCCCTCTGACCATGGCTGCGCGCCTTTGCTATCTTCCCAGCCTTCATGCTGAGCTGCAGCTTCCCGCACAGGCCCGACTTTGGCGATGTCACGGTGATGGACCTGCACTCGGGCGGGGCGGCCCACTTCCACTGCCAGCTGGGCTACGAGCTGCAGGGCGCCAAGACCCTGACGTGCATCAACGCCTCCAAGCCCCACTGGAGCAGCCGGGAGCCCATGTGCTCAGGTACGCTCAGCCCCTCCAGACCACACACAGCAGGCCCGACCCAGGGGAGGCCAGCCCCAGGGCCTTAGGACTGACTTTAGGGACAGGCCCTTAGCCCCGGGATAGAGCGCACCCAGCACGAAGGCCCGCGGCCATTTCAATTTTGTTTGGCTGTGGCAAAATACACAATACCAGAAAATATGCCATTGGTGACATTCAGTACTTTCACAGTGTTGTACAACTACCATCACTATTGCGTCCCAGCACATTGCTTTCAGCCCCAAGTCACTTCGAATAAGTCACTCCTTACTCTCCCCTCCCCCAACCCTTGGCAATTGTATTTCCTATGGTTGTCATCATACAGTATGTCATCATTTGTGTCTGGCTGCTTTCATGGAGCATAATGTTTTCCACTTCATTCCTATTGTCACACGCATCATAACTTCATTCCTTTTTATGACTGAATAATATTCCATCGTGTGTGGCCATATCACATTGCATTTGTTCATTCACTGATGGACACAAGGTGTTTCCACTTCTTGGTTATTATGAATAGTGCTTTTTTTCCCAAAGATTTATTTATTCATGCATACAAGAGCTGGGGTGTAGGCCAGAGGTGTAAGGGGTGAGAAGATTCATCAGAGACAGAGTGGGGAACAAAACAGGCAGATCCACTGAAATACACTGCTGAGGGGAGCAGTGGGCGAGACAAGAGAGGTCTGCTGCACCATGTGGGTTGCTCCCTGGCCGGGGATCGAAATCGTGCTGCAAAGGCTGCGGACAGCTTCATAGTGCTGTGACTTAACCCCTTGCACCACCATAGTGCTGCTATGAACAGTTGCATGCAAGTTTTTGTGGGGACTCTTGTTTTCATTTCTCTTGGGTATATGCCAGATGTGGAATTACTGGGTCATATGGTAATTCTATGTTTAACTTTTTAAGGAATCATCAAACTATTTCCCACAGTGGCTGCAGAAGAATATAGGCTACTTTTATTAACTGAGTACTTACTATTTGCCAGTCTATGGACCATGTACAAGAAGAATATTGAGAATATAAAACATAATTCCTGTCCGCTAGGCATTCATAGCCAGTGGAATCCAAAAAGGACAGCTGATGATAAGGTCTGAGGTCTGATTGTTATAGTATCAGTCCCCTGAGGCCCTTCAGAATTTTTCTTCTTTTCTTTATAACAAAGAAAAAAAATCAGACTGTATTTGCTCTTCACACCTTTCTTACGTTAATCTTTATCTATGTGTAAAATCAGAGAGGAATTAAACCTCAATTTATGCTAAGAAAGATGGATGGGGAGCCATGGCTGGTAAATTAAAGCCAAACAGAGCCATCAGTTGGCTTAATAAGGCAAGAAAGGGAAACAGAGGGGCAGCAAATGAGGGGGAGCTCAGGGAGAACAGACGTCCCCCGCCAGGGACAATGTCCTCCACCTCCTCTTCTCCAGAGTCATAGGGCAATAGTGCTGGATGCATTTTGAGCACCTACTTTGTGCCAAAGACTGAGCCAAACACTCTTCATCATTTCATTGATTGTTCATCACGGTCCCATAAGGAAAGTGGACTTCTCACCTTTTTATAGCGAGTGAACGCAAGACCCTGAAAGCTCCAGTGACTTGGCCTAGATTGACCAAGATAAATGGCATAGGTGAGGCGTGAACGCTCATTTCAGGACAGGAAGGCAAACTGGATAAAGGAACATGGTGCTCTGTCCAAGGTTCTGAAAGAATCACAGCAAGTTCTTGAATTACCTCGTTTCATTCAGTTTTGATTCATTATAAAGCTGATGAGGGCAAAAATATTTATTCCTGTCTGGGGGCCTGTGTGGGGTGGCATGTACTCCCCAAGTCTGCCTGTGTTTTCTTCAGACGCTCTGCTTTCCTCCCACATTCCAAAGATGTGAGCATTAGGTTAAATGGTGTGTCTGTGTTGTCCCTGTAGGAGGGAGTGTAGGTGTGTGAGTGTCCCCTGCAAAAGAAGAGGCCCCTGCCCAGGGTTGGTTTCCATTTTGCACCCCCAGCTGCCAGGACAGGTGCTGGCCACCCATGAATAAGTGAGCTGGAACTAGTTGGATGGAACATGAATGAATACAAATTATTGTTGACTACTAGGAGTGTTGGGTCTTTCTTTAGAAGTTTGTTGATGTTTTGCAACCAGAACTATGTGCCATGAACTTACCTCTTATGGTAAAACTGACTTTGTTATAAACCTTTCTGCTTAAAGTTACAGTTTCCCAGAACCTATAAACAATGTTAAGTAAGAACTTACTGTACAGAGTTTCTTGGCAATGTCTTTGCTATAGATCACAGCAAAATCCTGAGCAGAGAAGAGGGTTCTATTCAATTGCAGTCATTCAATACATACTTAATGAGAATAAAATGTCACTAAGAATAAGAAAAATATATCTTCACATTTGTATGTCTCATCCCCATCCACAAATCACTTTTTTAAATTTCTTTATTAGATTTTTATAATGAAAGTAACATGGGTCTGGTAATGAAATTTTTTTAAAAAATACAAAGTATAGGTGATAGGAGCAGATCACTTTTATATTCATGGTATAAATTGATCCTTGCAAAATAGTTCATTGAACTAGGTGTAGCAGAACAAGAACTTTTCTTCACTTAAATTATAGTGGGCATTTTTCTTTATCTCCAACTGTTCTTCGAGAACATGGTTTTTAGTAACCATATAAATAGGTATATTTATTTCACCAGGCATCGGTGAATGTACATTCATGTTATTTCTTATTTTTGGCCCTTAGAAATTGGTTCACAGTTCACAGTTGAGCAGTGAACACCCTCATCCATAAACTTTTGTGAAAAATTCCAAATCTTTTCTTAGGATTAATTCCCCAGAAACTTAATTACTAGGTTAAAGTGTCTGAGCACATTTTCTAGATTTTTTACCAAATTACCCTTCTGAAAGGTCATAGCAATTTGCATTTCAACCAGTCGTGAATGAGAGTGACCATTTCCCATCGCCTTGACCAGCTCCTGTTTTATTTCTGCTTTTTATCTTGGCCAATTATGTGGATGAAAATAGAAGGGAGTTTAGATTTGCATTTCTGTTATTATTAGGGAGGGTAACATTTTTTAGTGCCCACTTGGTACTAAAGCATTTCTTCTTTTGTGAAATGCCTGTTTATATCCTTCTTGATGCCATTTTATAAGCAAAAATCAGGGTGCAGCCAGCACCATGGAGAAACCCATCAATCACAGTCATTCATTCCCTGCATGGGGTATACAAGGTGAGGGTCTAATCATGGAATGAGATCTCCTGTCAAACAGCAGGACAGGCCTCCTCCATGATCTCCCCCTTCCTGCCTGCAAAATGTTGGGAACCAAGAGAAGATGAAATGCTCACTTCCCCTCTCTCTACTCTCCTCTCATTGTCCTCTCACCCCTGCTTTCTGGGCACAGCTCCTTGTGGAGGGGCCGTGCACAATGCCACCATCGGCCGGGTCCTCTCCCCAAGTTACTCCGGAAATGCCAACGGGAGCCAGTTCTGTGTCTGGACCATTGAGGCTCCAGAAGGCCAGAAGCTGCACCTGCACTTTGAGAGGCTGTCACTGCATGAGAAGGACAGGTACTCTTCCCAGGGCCCCCACTCCTCCCCAGCCTGCTGGAATGTGGCAAGGTTTTTGTGTCTTGAAATGGTTGAAATTTTGATTCATTGAAGTCAAGAAAGGAAGATCTAGGGAGGATAACAAGGATCTTAGAGACCACGAGCTTTGATCTTCTCCTTTTACACATTAAGAAACTAAGCCGTCCAGAGGAAAGGGGACTTGCCCCAGATTACACAGGAAATGAAGCAAGAAGGGGATCTAGATGCCCTACATTGCACTGCCTCCTTCTTTCTCCTGCACACCTTTTTGCAGTTGAACACAGAAGGGGCGTTTATGGAGCTCCCTCTCTGTGACTAGTCATGTGTTGTACTCCATGGAGATTAGGTGAGAAGTAGAGAACTTTGCCTCCTGGGATAAGAAGTAGTTGACATGGGAAAGCAGACATGGTGTGCAATAACAAGGGGAAGTTAAATGCAATATCTAAGCAAGAGCACATGTATAGACTTTAATACAAATAAAATCCAGAACCCTAAAGCTGATGTTCTAAAGTATTCTAGACCACTCTAGAAAACTTGGACCTTAGCTATTTAGACTCATCTTAGTTTAGGTTATCTTGACAACAGGCATGGCGATGAGGATGAGAGGGAAAGTAGTTTAATTGGAAGCTGATCCTAGAAAGCACTGGTAGAGGCAAGGGGGCATGAACAGAGAAGAAATTATGTGTTAATCGCAGGTAATGGTGGGGCAACTGGGACTGCATCCACGAGGACCTCTGGGAAGCTGTTGAGCGTAGCTTAGTAGGCCTATTGGAGGGCAAGAGAGCTGGGGTATTTATCTACCACATTCTAACATCAAATATTAGAATCACTGTGCTCTGACTTCTTTGAAGTTTCAATTCTATGCTATCAAGCTCTTTAGGTAGAAAAGGATCCTTACAGACAAATGAGTCATTTACCTAGAGTCCACTTCCCACCAAGTAGTCCAGCTTTATCCTGAACAACTTGCTATCAGTAAATCACTGCCTTAAAGTGGGAAGTGTAGGACAGGGGCTCCAAAACATGGCTTCTCAGTAGCATCATAAAGGCTTGGGTACTCTTAAAAGTGAATTCCCAATCTTTCTTCCTGGAGACTGAGTGAGGAGCCAGGCCTGGGAAACCTCAGTGAAGGACACTATCTAAAACTATGACCTTGGATCTGCCTCTTCCAAATGGCTCTGAGAATAAATCAAAGTTAAGTGTGTATTAAGCAACAAAAATGAGAAGGGAAAGAGGGTTAACCAAAATGGTAATTTCTGAAAGTTATTTAAATCTGGATAAATGAGCCAAACAGACCCTCTGACAATGTAACTTACTAGTAGTTTCCACGGGTTTCTACAGAGGTCTATGAAAGTATGAATTTACAACCCCTGGGGAAAGCTAGTTCTCAAGTGTGTAATAGGGAAAGATGTCTGTAGTAGTTCATCAGCTTAAAGGCCAGCATACACGCGCATACACACACACACAGAGAAGATACTCTCTATGCTAAGAAAAAAAATGACATCAACTTTTTCTATCCCATGTCCTTTAGTGAAGAAAAACAGATAAAAATATTACAATATATGTATTTGATTGTCAATTTAGGCTATTTTTCATATACAGAGAAATCCTCTTGCTTCCCAAGTACAATGATGTATTGGGCTTCATGTCAAAAGCTCTCTGTGAATAAAAATCTTATAGTGAGAGAATGGGTGGCAGAATTTGAGAATTATGAAATGGAAATTAGAAAAAAGATAAAAGTAATATATTAAATAAGCAGGGATTATTAAAAAAAATATATTACAATATACCAGCTGCAAGAGGTTAGCACTAGATAAGACTCCACATAAGAAATAGGACCTCAGGCCTCCCCTGATGGCACAGCAGTTGAGCACCTGGTTGCGAGGCTGCCCGCAGCCTCTGCAGCGCCAGTTTGTTCCCTGGCTGCAGGCGAGGGTCCCACAAAAAAAAAAAAAAGAAATAGGACCTTGTCTAAACCTTGAAAAAATTGGATAAAGGAACCCAGAATAGAGTGGGGAGAGTCTCCCAAGGGGGGAAAGTAGGGGGATCAGAGAGAACACGGAAGTAGAGGAGAAATTTCTCATTGATTTTGCAGGGGGAGGAGAGGGGAGCTGCTGTGACAGAGGTCTTTTCACGAGTAAGAGAAGAAAATAAAGTTGGGAAGGTAAATTGGGGTCTGAAGGTCTTTGAATGCTAGGCTGCTCCTATAGGTCCTAGAGAGCCATGGAAGGATTTTTGAGTAGAAGAGGAATACCAAGAAAGATTTTAAGATGATTTTCCATAAAAGGAAGTCTTGCTAAACTCCAGTGTCATAATATGCAACATAAAAGAGAGGTTCTCTGGTCAAACAGATTTGGGAGATGCCATACTACATCCCTGTCTTGAAAGGTGTTAGTGGAATTAGCTAGCATAGACACTGACAAATCCTGCAGAAAATAATTTTTATTTAACCCAGCATTTCCCAAATCCATCAGACCATAGCCCTCATGTGGATTTGAGATAAAAAACATACTGCTGTTTCAGAGAACAGAGCAGGCTCATGAAAAACCATGGCTCCAACATTTATGTATGTTGGTGACATTAGAAAATTCATCTGTACAACATAAATCCTTTTTATGCTCACAGTAAAAAAAAAAATTCAAAGAATTAAAAATTCCAGTTTATGGCCCCATAAAAGAAACTCACCTAATCGTGTACTGTTTTCTTCCCCCATGTTTGCATAATTTCTTTAAAAATACCAGGACTAGCAAGGAGTCAAGTATCAAATGGTTTTAATAACAGTAAAAATGAGTACCAACATTTTGTGCTACATTTCATTATTCAGGGTATTCAATCCTGTCATATTTTCTTTTTTTTTTTTTAAGATTTATTTAATTATTTATACAAGCACTGGGTACAGTCAGAAGCGTGGGAGGGTGAGAGAATTCACCAGAGCCAGAGCGGGGAACAGAACAGGCAGACTGACAAAACACACTACTGAGGGGAGTAGCGGATGGCAGGAGAGGTCTGTCGCGCCATGTGGGACCCTCGCCGGCGGCCAGGGATCGAACCGGCGCTGCAGAGGCTGCCGGCAGCTTCGCAGCCCATTGCTCAACTGCTGCACCACCAGGGGAGGCCCAGATCCTGTCATATTTTCAAAACCCACATGTAAGACAGGTAGAAAGATGTCTCACAGTTGTGGAGACTGAGGCCCAAGATGTGTTGAGACTAATGTAAATTCAGTAGGTGGGGTGTTGGGAACTGGAAATTGGGACTCTGGACCCACACACAGTGCTCTTAGGAAATGAGAATCAGAGATGCAGCCTATCAGGGGTCAAATGCATAATAAATTTTGCTTGTGTAGCTGCTCAGCGCTCTATACCCATGATCTCTAAACCCACACTCGATAGAGGTGAGATCACACCCATTTTGAGATGACAAAACAGAAGGTCCAAGTGGTGAAGTGTCCTTGTCCAAAGTCACACAGCTTGGAAGTTTCAGAGGCCAGGACTCTGGCTGTCTCACTGTAGATGTTAGAAATGTTTCAGAAATGATAATAGTCCATTAATCCCTGCACCTCTATTAGTAATAATAATCAGTATTGATTATTAATCTGGGCTATTACATCATGTATATCACTTTCCTTACACCACAGAATCAGCCCATGAGGCGTCTCCAACAAGCATCCTGGAACCTTCTCTGGGAAGCTTGTCTGAGAAAGTCAGGGGCAAAGTCAGGGTTTGAGTCTGAGGCTCCAGAGGCAGCAATCAGAGCCGCTCTCCCTGCTAAGTGCCGTGACCTGCTGTCCTCTCCCACTGCCAGGATGCTGGTCTACAGTGGGCTGACCAACAAGACAGCTCTCCTCTACGACTCCTTTCAAACAGAGAGTGTCCCCTTTGAGGGGCTGCTGAGCGAAGGCAACACCATCCGCATCGAGTTCACCTCCGACCAGGCGCGAGCGGCCTCAGTCTTCAACATCCGATTCGAGGGTGAGGAGCCTTGGGAGTCCCGCTCCTCTGGGGGGTGATACAGGATCAGAGGAAGCATGGTGGGTCTGGGGCTGCATCCCAGAAGGGGGAATATCTGGCCTGCTGAGTCTGGGGGAGACCCAGTGGCCAGACTGACTCTTTGACTTGCAAAGGCTGACTCTGCAGCACTGGGAGGGCAGGAGTTCTTATTTCCATTTTAGATATGAAAAGTGAGGCCCCAAGAAGCCACGTGAATGGCCCAAGAGCCGTCAGCGTATCAGCTGGACCTGGAACACAGGGTCTGGTTCTCGTTTTCCTCCGAGCCTCCCTGGACAGCAAAAGGGGCGGATCCCTCTTCTGAGACATAGGCCCGGGGTGGCCCCTGACTCACTTGAACTGCTGCCTCTCTTCTGTCCACCCCCCCCCCCCAGCCTTTGAGAAAGGCCACTGCTACGAGCCCTACATTCAGAATGGGAACTTCACCACATCCGACCCCACCTACAACATCGGGACCATAGTGGAGTTTACCTGCGACCCTGGCCACTCTCTGGAGCAAGGCCCCGCCATCATCGAGTGCATCAACGTGCGGGACCCATACTGGAATGACACGGAGCCCCTGTGCAGAGGTGAGTGGGCCCACCACCTCCTCTCAGGCTGCCCCTCAAATGAAAAGTCCAAGGCCTCAGTTTAGCGGCATGTCTATGTCACCAGTTCACATGCTGATGGAGGGTTAGGACCCTCTCCAGGACTCGCTAGCTTTTGTATCACATTTGTTGCCAGTCCTTGAGGAAAGGGCAAAATGGATCATTTTTTTATAAAGTGTCCCTACTTCAGACACAGCTTGGTGAGCAGATTGCTGCACGGATCTCAGCTCCTGCATTACCCCCAGGTTGTACTCTCGTGCAGTCCACAGCCCGCCCAACAGCACATGGAGCCCTGGCTTGAATTAGTAATCGTGATGATATTAATAGATTTTAATAGAAGTGCAAAACTGTGCATGCACTCTACCACGGCCGTGTGCTTGTTACGACTTCATCTCACTACAGTCCTGTGAAGTACTGTTATTATTGACCCCATTTACAGCTTAGGAGACTGAGCGCTGGCGTGACCCGCCTGAGAGTTCATGAGGATAACTGGCAGGGGCAGGAAAGGAACTCGAGTCTCTGTTTTCAGAAATTGCACTGTGAGCAACTCAGGACAATTTTAGTGTGCAGGGCCCTCATCTACATGGCTCCCCACAACCCTTCCCACTCACCCATATTCAAGGCTGCTGAGCCACCCTGAGCCCGGCTCCATGTGGAGCCGCCTGGATGGCAGTTGGCGTGAAATCACAGCCTTGCCCTGGTGAGGGATTGATCCCTGTATTAAATGTGCTGGTTTAACAGAGCGGAATTTATTGGTGCTTTGGCCTCTGCCACATTGAAAACTTTCCAAAGTGGTAAACACAGAGTGGAATTTAAAGGGCCAGGTGCCAGGCACAGCTTCTTTTCCACCTCCAGTTTGGACCCAGGGCCTTTCACAGCTACATCAACCAAGGCTCACTGAGCACACACCTAGTGCCAGGCACTGTGCTGCGCTCGACATCTATGAGCTCAATGAAGCCTCAGAATAACCCATAGGGTCAGCAGTGATGTTACCCCACGTTACAGAATACAGGAGCACAGGTTCCAAGAAGTAATAAGCCTTGTTACAGAGCCTGTTGGTGGCCCAGGGAACATACAAACCCAGGCCCACCAGACCTGAATGTACCGCCTCTTAGCCCATACGCCCCTGCACAAGGTAGGACTGCCCTGGCTAGGATTCATTTGGAATTCTGGGCTCTGTCATTGGTGCTAAAAGAATTGCAGTCATGTAACAATAAATGCATTTCAGTCAACAATAGACCACATATACAGCACTGGTTCTATTAGTCTGGATGATGTGTCTATATTATAGTAGATGTACCATCCATGTTTGTGTAATTGCATTCTGCCACATTTGCATAAAGATGAAATTGCCAAACGCACCCCCACTGTTAAGCAATGGATGACTATATACAGCCATAGCCCCACCTTCACCAAGCCTTAGCTAAAAGAAGCAGGTGCCAGTCTCCTCACATGTATTGACCACCTGAGGTGAATGCACCTGTCCACACACAAAACAACCCATGGCTGTCTGACTTCATAGTACAAACACTTACTTGCTCTGCCAGATAGGCTTCCTTATGAATAAAGTGTCTCTGTGTTTGTCTTTGTCTTTTACAGCAATGTGTGGTGGGGAGCTCTCTGCCGTGGCTGGGGTGGTGCTCTCCCCAAACTGGCCAGAACCCTACGTGGAAGGTGAAGATTGTATCTGGAAGATCCACGTAGGGGAGGAGAAACGGATCTTCCTAGATATCCAGTTGTGAGTATTATGATGGCAGGACTACCAATGCAATCTCATTGCAAAAGAAATTTCTCCTGATTTATTCTTTTTTAAAAAGATTCATTTTATTTATTTGTGCATACAAGAGCTAGGGTACAGGCCAGAGATGTGGGGGGTGAGAGGACTCACCAGAGACAGAGTGGGGAACAGAACAGGCAGACTGACTGAAATACACTGCTGAGGGGAGCAGCGAGTGAGACAGGAGAGGTCTGCTGCGCCGTATGTGTTGCTCCCTGGCTGGTCGGGGATTGAATTCGTGCTGCAGAGGCTGTGGATTGCTTCATAATGCGGTGCTTAAACCTTTGCGCCACCAGGGAGGCCCCCTCCTCGTTTATTCTTTCAGCCAATATTCGTTAAGCATCTACTGTGTATGTGAGAACTGTATAAAGAGTGTGGGAAACAGTGAGGGAAATGATAGTGAGGGAAACAGTCCTCGTATACACACAGAAAGAGCCCCTGTCTTCAGGAAATCCAATGTACTAAGGAAGCAGACATTAAACTAGGGGGGAAAAAATACCAATAATTGGTCCCTGTAACTGTGCTGTCAGATTCCATCATGGAGATTTGTTATAAAGAGGAAGGTCAGAAAAGTCTTCCCTAAGGATCTGATACTAAAGCTTGGGATGAAGTGATAAGCTGGAATGAATGCATCAAAAAGGAACAGAATATGCAAAGCCCCTGTGGCAAGAACAAGCACATCATTTTCAAAGCACTGAAGGGTCCGTGTGGCCAGCAGGAGGAGAGCAGTATAACTTGTGCTCACTGAACTACGGTGGTTTATTTTCCTAGCTCACTCAACTAAGCCAGAAGGTCCTTGCAGTCAAGTCTGGTCTGAGGTCTCCCTGAACCAAGGGATAACACAGAGCTAGATACCTAGCAGGTTCTCAGGAAGTGAGAGCTCAATGAAGAAATGCTGTTGTGAGGGGACTTGCCCGCCTGCGTGGCTGTGTTGTCTGTCCTCAGTGCGGGTACCTAATAGGTTCTCCATCAAACCTCTCCTTACCCCACAACTCCTCAGGGATTGAGAGAAGGGGACAGAGCCAGATGGTGTCTCGAGAAGCAGAAGAAAAGGAGTAGCTGACAGACCCAGGGACAGGGACAGTGGGAGTGGGGATGCCAACTTCTGGAAAGTCTCTCTGGTCTCTGGGGATCAGCTCTCCCCTCAAGCCTCGAGAGTTTCCACAGTAGGCTGAGAAGCATGGCTCAGGAGCTGCCTGGCTGGGCCCAGAATTCTTCCTAGAGAAGAAGAGTGTTATTTGCAAATAATGAGTGACTGTCTTTTGAAGCTGTGAGTGCAGTGTGCCCAGCTGTCCCAGGACCTCCTGTTCCAGTTTAGTTAGAGATTTGCAGTCCTTGGTCAGTTACCACTTGGGAACTCGGGGCCAGGTCGGCCTAGGCCAGAATCTACCTGCTCTACTTCCCAGTGGGGCGACTTGGGGCTTCTCTCCTAGGGCTGTGTACTCGTGTCAGGAGGGTCTTAGAAGTCAGTGTTTTGTGCTGCTGGAGGCAAGTTTGAAGTGTTCCTGGCCTGTGCCTCGCTCACTCATCCGCTCACTGCTCAATGAGAACCGACCCCCTTCCTCCCGTTCTCATCTCGCCGTCATCTAGCGTCTGCAATAAAATGCTTATTCTTTCAGGACATGCTTTGAGTGTCAACTATTAAGTCAGCTCCGTTTTAGGAACTGGAAAATTTCGGAGAGCTGTCCCTGCAGCAGTCCAGTTCATATTGGAAAGGAGTGGATTGGACGGTCTCTCTAAATTCTGGCAAGAAGACAACTTTGTACCTACTATGTGCAAAAGCAAGTACTGGAGGTACAACTGTGAAAAAGTGGAACAGGCTCTGCCCTCACTGTTTAGTGGGTGAGGTGACGGAAATCCACACGCAGTGTGATCAGAGTGAAGGTGCAGGGCAGGGAGCTGAGGGGCCTGACTGAGGTCAACAGGAGCCTCCAGGAAAAGTAGCTTCTGAGCTGGAATGAAAGAGATGGCAAGGGGAAAGGAAGGGTGGACCAGACAGTGAGAACAGCGTAGGCAAATCCTGGAAATAAGAGACGGAGCTTACTCAAGCGGGACTGAGGCAGTTTAACTGAGTAGAGCATGGAAACAGGGTAGGGGTCCCAGAAGGAAAGGGTCCAGGGAAGCCTCTGGGTTCCTCTTTTTTGGTTTATCTTCTAAAAAAAAAAAACAACAACAACAGCTCTTAATTTCATTGAATTTTCGCCATCACAGACAAAAGAATCTAGGGTTCAGATACCCCCACACACACCCCTAATGATGCTCAGATCCACTGGTAGAGTTTAGGGATCAAGTGGGGTGGGATGTGAGGGGCCCTATTGATTTTCTAGGTCCTCTGGGCACCAGATGCCAGCCAAGATGAAGGTGGTGGTGGGATCACATGCAGGCCACAAGCTGGGGCCAGGAGAAGGGGACTGTGCCCCAGGGAGGCCTCCAGTCCCTCCACGCAGCAAGCAGGCAGCAGCATCCCAGGCCTGTAGGACTTGAAATGACATCAAAATCAATTCCATCCAGTTTCAGTTCTCATGGACAGATTGCAAAGACTGTGATTTTTGTCTTTGAGTGAGTTCAACTCCATTCCACAAACATTTATTGCGTCCCCACTGTGAAGAAGGCGTTCTGGCTGGGTTCTGGCAGTGAGCAAGACATATGCAGCCCTGCCCTGGGAGCCCTCATCATCAGCTGACCTAGCAGAAGCAAGAGGCAACGCAGGGGCCCTGGGTGTGGGAGCTCACCTGAGCCTGGTAGAGTACACGGAGGAAAAGCTTTCCCGAGAAAATAGTATGTAAGTCAGTGGTTCTCAATTTTATTCTCAGGGACACTTGGCAATGTCTGGAGGCACTTCTGGTGATCACTTGAGAGGACAGTCGTGCTGCCAAACACCCTGCAGTGGCCAGGACAGCCCCTGCCATCACCATAAAGAATTAGGAATTAGCTCACTCAAAATGTCATTAGTGCCAAAGAAGAGAAGTCCTAACCTCTGCTGAAACCTGAAAGAGAGAAGAGAGGCAAAGATGGAGAGGAACAGTGTTCCACCCAGGGGAACAGCCTATGCTAAGACCCAGAAATAGGAAGTCAGGACGCTCTTCTGAATTGTCCAGAATGTTGAATGTTTACTGAACACTTAGTGCAGCCCAGGCATTCACGTCCCAGGAACCTTCACAGCAGGCACATGCAGTGCAATCCATTACTAGTTCCATTTCACAGATGAGTAAACTGAGGTTGGAGAGGTAGAAGAGTTACCGCTCACATGGCAGGGAGCTAGCAGAGCTGGGATTGCATCCTGCAGGGCTGGGATCCTCTCCAGCACTGGGAAGGGGCTGGAGGAGTCCTGTGTTCCTGGAGCTCAGGTATCCAGGGGGAGCCACATCCGTGAAGAAGTCCTGCCATGTGGCAGTAGATGTAACCAGGGCCCTGAGGACTGCATTGGGGAGGGGAGTCGGGATGTGCCCTGATTGGGCAGTAAGGGGAGGGTTTTAGGCATTTAACGGGATTAAAGCTTTGCAGAAGGAAGCCTAGTCCTCTGGTCACCAGCCCAAGGCTCCCTCTGGCAATCTCTTCTGGCCCTCACTTGGCAGAGGGGCGTCTGGGCTTGGCACCTCCTTCCTCCCACAGAGGGAATGAAAATAGCATCTCACCAGCGAGGGTTACATGAGGCCCAAGAGCTGCTGAGTTTAATTTATCTTGCTTGGTTTCCACTGACAGTTTTAGTAAACCAATTTGGGTTTGATAGTAAAAATAATTCCGTCCTCAGGGCCCCTCAGCACCGCCTAAGTGTTTGCAATTCTTATTTATCACATTGGCGAGGGGGAAGGCGTTTGTGCTGCAAACTGAGCTGGGTAGGTGGCCCATAGTAGGTGCTGGCCAATGTTTGCTGAGTCATGAGGATACAAGCTATATGTGCCAGGGGAGAGGGGACCTTCCCTACTCACCAACTGAGGCCTGGCTATTGCTGCCATAGGTACTTAAGGCAACAGTTCTAACTATTCCTGATTTATTAAGGACCCACTATGCGCTGGACCCTGAGCTGTGTAGTTTATATTTGTGAGCAATGACAAACATTATGGAGAGATAATAATGACATAAATTAGAGCTAGTGTGAATATAAATCATTGCAGAGGCGTAATTACCCAAATTAGAGATAATGTATGCAAAGTGCATGGCATGGGGTCTGGCACATAGTTGGTGCTTCAGAAACAGAGACTGCAATTACCAGGAATCTTTATAAGGCAGAGGTGATCATCAGTGCTTTGTAGATCTGGAAATGACCGTGCAGGGAGGTATAGTGACTCCTCATGTCACACAATTAGCGAAGATCTGAAATAGGGGTTGCACTCACACTGCAGCCTCCTCTCTCGGTGATTTGGGTGGCTCTTTGGGGACCAGCTGTGTGTCTCAGTGGTGAGGCAGGGAGGCCTCCAGGAGCTCAGAGTTCAGGAAGGAGAGTAGGGCTGCAGTCAGAGGACCTGGCAAGAGGCAGGTAAAGTACTGTGACTGAGGGGAACAGGAGGAAGAGAGCAGCGAGCTGGGTCTATCTCTGCTACTTGTGGAAATATCCAGAGACGGTGACATTCAAACAGAATCTTGCAGAGTGTGAGCTGGCTGGGCTGGAGTGGTGGAGGGCATTCTGGGAGGGCCCATGTGAGGGAAGAACAGCAGCAGGAGAAACGGACATCCTGAATTGCAGCCTTAATTAGGCAACGTCTGGCCTGCATTGTTGGTGCTGGAAGTGGGGCGTGCATGATCTTAAAATGAGTCAGGGCCCCAATACTAAAGCTCCTTCATGCCCCACGTGCCTGGCCCCAAACCCATGTGTGCTCCCTGCTCCATCAGGAATCTGCACCTATCACTACTGAGCAGGAGCCTTTGGAATTTGAAGGATTTCTGAAATCTTTTTCTCACACTTGCTCAAAATAGAGCACAGAAAGGAAGATAAAAGTAGGAAGGAATTATCAGTGAAAGCA